CTTTATAAATATAACTTGGCGAAAGTTGACGATCTTCTCAATCGAAGAATGTTTTATTCGTCATATTCCAATAAATATGACGAGAGAAAAATGAAAATAAAGATCGTGAATTCTGACAGCACTATTTCAATAAGTGCAAAGGTCACCGGATGTGATGTCACAGACAGGGGTAGTCTGCTGATAAGCTTTCGAAACAAAACAATTACAGTAATTTTTGAAATATTTCGCCTATCACATACAGCAAAAGAGAAGTCGATACACAGTATCAGTTATCACCACTAACATGAAATAAAAATGTGACTTTGACGATATAATTCACGTATTAGTTAATCCGTTTGACCTTGCATGCTCCCGTGACCCGGAAACGGTAGACGATAAATCAACATGCAACATGCAAGTTTCTCGGTATCTTTTATTTGAACTTCTGTTGATATTTAAGAATCACCATTCAATGTTGTAAATATAAATGGTACATGATTCATATTTCTGCGATGTACACGCTGATAAGTTTCACTACAACAAGTGTATCCCACATAATACGTCTATGGATTTCGTCGATCAGCAAGATCACCCTCAACAACAGGTGCGCGAAAATGGGCAAAACGTGTTTCAAAATAACATCCCCGCGTTGCTGAATATGATAGGGTATATATAAGCAATTAAATGCTACGTACATATTTTCGGTGTTGGTTCCACATTACATTTAGGATAGTTTTCCTTTCGGGAATACATTCATAGATTCTAGCATGATTCTAGAACAGTTACACGAAGGATTTCTAAATTTATTCCAAAAATATGAAGACCACCATGATTGCGTATTGATGATAGATTTGTAATTGTGTAATTATTTACAGCTGTTTACAGGTTTTAAAATTTTAAGTTATATTAAATAGTTATTTTTCCCACAATGATGGTGTGTGGGGACAGTAAATATTAGTCTTTGCATCAGCACAGTGTAACTGATCAAACTTCAATTATTATCTTTAGTTTAAACACATATTCATCAATTATTATCTTGCACTCTGAAAATCAACTATGTGAATAAGTAACTCTCTGATGTCATCATTTTAATTTTAGTATTCCATGAATAATGAATAAATCCGATCCTTAACATATACATACTAAACTCATATGGACATTAATCTTGTGCATTATGTGGTTTGTTTCCAAATGAAACAATTCTGAAATATAATTTAATAGGAATTAATTTAATTTAATTACATTAACAGTACTTGTAACAGTACATGACATTTTTGTTTGTTTAATCACAAGAACCATGGTGGCACATGAGCTGGTAAGTTTGCCATAAGTGTCTTAGAAAATGCTATCTCAGTCTTCTGGTTGGAATGAAAAGAAACATGCCTGTGTACATGTTTACCCTTGCCAGATGTATTTTTTCCAGTCAGCCAATCCATTACTTTTGTTCACCTTATGTGGTCTATTTTATACATACAGGTACTGCTTCCAACCTGTTTTTTCTTTGTATGCAATCACAGTATCACAACTTCCTCAGCTGTTGTGTATAAAAGTTCCCCTGTCATCATGAAAAAAGAATTATAAAGGAAAGTCATATTTTCATTCAAAAACATATGTCTTTCCTTGAATACTCTTTGTCTAAGTGCCAGAAATGTCAGTGTCATAAAAAAATTAAAAAAAGATTTTCATAAGGACTTTTCTTAGATAGACCTAGATCTAAGTCAAACCATGTGACTAGTTAGGTAGAATTATACTTATAAGCCCTCATTTCTGAGGTGTCCATATTTTTCACATTTTTAGGACTAAACGTGATCCATGGAGATCTGCCTGTTTTGTTATGTAAAACAAATTCTTGTCTTAAAAAATGAGAAAAAGAATCATTCAGACGAAATATTTTATCCCATTGATTCACGAAAATCAGTTGAAATGTACAGTGGTGACTTTTGTACCCAAAATTTCTAGTAATTTGTTACCCAAATGGGTATGTGATTTTGTAGATCTACCTAGAATTATTTCAAAGATATACATTAATTTGGTGTCTTAAACTTAACATAATATCACTTTCTTATCAAAACAATTCATTCTAACTTAGGTTTAACCAACTTAACTGGCCTCTCCTTCAGTGACAAGACGTCAATTTTCTCTCAACACTAAACAATCAATTTTAAGGATCACAGTCATAATCATATTTGGAACTTGATGAAATATTTTATCATGTGTTCTGTTCATCTACATGAAAACATAAATATAATTATAGATCTATTGTCTTATTTTCTAAGTTACAAATTCACAAAGTATTTTGGGTACAATTTAATTTGTTTGGGGTAAAAAAATCACATATATAGGAGCCTAGAATCTATATATATTTGCACTAGCCTACCTCGTTGTGTACCAAAATTTTATCGGTTCAGAGGACGGGAGGTTCTCAGAAAGTTTTCAACAACATCTTTAATATTTAAATTGTTCTTTTTTTAATGTTAGACCAATAACAATATTATGTTATTATTATGGCATATCAATTCGTTGTATCACTCTCCGTTGCGTTCGTTTTTAGAAAATATTTTTAAAATTAAAATCATCGAGCGTGAAATCCATCACGGTTTCGGATTTTGACTTTCATTTGATGGCGGTAATCACGAAGAAATATGAAACAAATAGGAGTGATGACTGCTCTCCAGATCAATAAATAGTAAATAGTTGACGAAAAATTGTAAATTATGTATTTTCTTTTGAATTTGAATCTATTTCGGAATTTCTTTATGATAGCTTACCAACTTTTGCATATTTTGCTTCCATGTGTCATGCGGTACGTGCTTCCGGTTTCAGAAATGATAGCAAAAATTGCAAGTATTTTGATTATTTCTCGTAAAATGCATTATTTTGCTATTGAATGGTTTACCTAGAATGTATATCAGTTCAGATTTTGCGTATCATCCAATATTTGTCATTTTTCGCAGTGTTTGTTTACTTTGTTCAACTCAACAAATCGCGAGTTAGGCCACGCCCAAACGTATCTCTAACGTTTGTCGGGTTGTCAATGTGTCGGAAAGTTTATCAAACGAAATCATTTGCAAACTCTTTAAAAAGGAAATTCTTTTTACAAAGATTTATACATACGTGTCAATAATTCTAGAAAATTAAGTTAGATGTAACAAAATGATTGTAATAGTCTAACGGGATAACTATGCATGTGGAGTTGTTTGTTTACCGCCGTTGCCATGATCGTACAAGTTCCATCCAATCGATGATGTTACGATTCAGATTGTTTTTGTTTACAATTAGTTACACCGAAAGTTGCTATTTTTTAGAAATAAAGGAACATGAGTGTTTTCCTTTCGTCAGCAAACAAAAAAATATGATCGAATAGGAAAAATGATGAAATTATAAAGAAAATATCGGACTGCATGCCGCTCAACGTGAAGTGCCAAAAGTCAACAATGGCCGTTTCTGGTAGTTGTGTGCCGAGAAGTTTGGCCGAAACATTTTTAACTCGCGATAATTTCTTTTTGAGGTAAATAAATGACTGAACGTTTTGATATTGAGCAAGCTGAGCATTTATGCATGTCATACGTAATTTAAATGTTACGCAAAGCCTTCTTGGTAAATAGATATGGCGAGTTTTATTTTGGGGTGTTGTTATGCTATTCGCCTGTCGAATGGGTTCGACATCAGATGCACGGGGATGGACACCTCTGTCGAATGGGTTCGACGTTAGCGTGCAGAGCTTTAATGGGAGCCAACTGGCAACTAAGCAATAAATACAGATCTCAAAATGATAATTTAGGTTGCAACTTGGAAGGCTGTATACTGCAAATTTGATAAGAAGTAAAAAAATGTAAAAGGTCAAAAGATATTGACACTCCCAAACCCACAGTTACCAGTTATGCTAAATCACCAGTTGAGATCCACACACTCCACCAGAGTCCACATGCAGTGCCCCACGGAAAGACAGTGCCAGAGTCAAGTATTTTTGCATCCACGATTCGATAAAGAAAGTGTCAATTGAGAAGGGCAACAAGAATATATTTATTGATATCTAAGTTTATGGAACAATGACTCAGCAAGAACAAATAGCTTCACAATGTTAAATGTATTCTGTTGTAATTATTATGTTTCCATTAAATATATATGTTCAAGTTATCAACTACTAGTTCTATTTGATTTCATCTTGCAAATATTCTGTAGTAAAGGTATATTTCTGAACTTTCTGTTAGTTGCAGTAGAGTGTACACTGTGTACCTTTTTGCGTTTCTTGACATTTGTCACTCACAGCTAATCAGTGGTGAGTTTGTTTTCAATCAACAAGCTTTATCACCAAGCTCCACCCACTTTCATAGACCATAGACAGATACATTTACGGCATATAATCACAAGATATAAAGCATTCCCACTGGCTGAAAGCTTTCGGGTATGGTACAAGTAATCTTGGTTGTCTCACATCCCAATGATGAATTCTTTGATTCAACTATGCCCACCAACATCAGCATCTAATAAACGACTTTTAGGACTGCTGGCAGTAATAGTCATGGTTACGTCATTCATGTCATCATTCTGTGAGGAAAATATGTTGTAATATTCTCCTGTGATTTGAGGATGCCACCTTTGTGAAACTAAACTGAGAAAAGTGTGCATGACAAGAAATATATAAACTTGTAGCATTACAGACGATAGCTTCAGAAGCCAGATAGGCTTTGGTATTGCCATAAGGAGTTACACTACCCCGTAAACAAGGAATTCATGATGTTGATGTGGACAAGTGACTTCCTACTCCAGTTTCTTTCAATATGTGAAATATTTTAGTTGCCAAGATAATTTTATTAATGGGAGCCAACTGGCAACTAAGCAATAAATACAGATCTCAAAATGATAATTTAGGTTGCAACTTGGAAGGCTGTATACTGCAAATTTGATAAGAAGTAAAAAAATGTAAAAGGTCAAAAGATATTGACACTCTGCTTACCTTCTAGTACACATGACATATGATGGTCTCAACATGGCAACTACAACGTGACACTTTCACTCACATGAGAAGCAGTGTTGCCATAGCGGCAGCAGAGACAAGAAGAGGGCTGCATCAGCGTAACTGGGGTAGGATTTGAAGATGCTGGTGAGGAATACCAACATATACAGTTGGAACACTGGGCTGTCCCTGCAATATACAACATTACATCAATATCACACCAAAACCACTATACCCTGATCCTTGGAAAAAATATATCTAGTAAATAGTATGTCTATGTTATAGTCAGTGTCTATAATCAGGCAATATGTATATCGATTGATTCACTAAGGCTAAAAGTATACTTGTACCAAATAAAAGAAACAATAATACCTTACCATGCTATATTCTGTTGTAGGTGGCACCCACGTATTGTAGGGTAGGCCTCAAATGACATGATTTACCATCACTATAAAAAATTGCTTAAGCTGACTCCTTGAAACACATTACCTAATAGTGAAATTAAACTTACTTTGTAGTATGTATTACTATTTAAGTTTGTTAACTACATATAAGTATGGTGAAAAAAGGACCAAAAATAGAAACAATTAAGGGAAAATAGCAACATATTTAATGTGGCTTGGGTATCAAATGAGCAAGTAGTCATGTAAATTGTTATTTAGAAGATCAAAACCCATTACAGAGACACTATTTTCACGAACAATGTACAATATCCACCAAGCAACATAAATTTAGAAAAAATTCTGTAGGTCTCCATGGAAAATATTGAGTATTTGCATGCCCAAAGATAGCTAGGGGTGTCAATCCTGATATCTAAAAAGGGAATAACTCATTATCTAGACATAATGAATCACATATTATGCTTGTCATTGATAATTGTTTAGATGTAACATAATAGGCAGGTTAGATATTCTACAGTGCTTTCTGTTTATCCATTTAGCAATTAAATAATCATAAATAGCTTTGCTTCTCATACCAAAAACAGAGAGAAAAAATATTTTAGAAATTCAGGGAGGAGAATAAAACGTGCCAAGTTAATAAAATAATGTGTAGGAACTCTACACACTGTTTTCCCACTGAACCTGAACATTCAGAGATGCATTGGAACAGTTATTTTTTATTACTTATCGGCTCATGTTTGGGAGGGATAGCAAAGGTACATGTTGCAGGTTTCCACAATCATAAACGGACATGTCGTTGCTTCTACCACCAATTATGTAGAAGACAGGGCACATCAAGGAAGGTAATTCGTCACGGTAAACTCGCGTGCAATGGCTTGAACTGGGGTTCGCACGAACTATTGTATCCAACGTCTTTAACTGCATCGGAAAAGTTTTGAGACAGCTTGTTGATGAGATTACTGAAGATCAAAGCTACTTTTGCATGTGTTATTTATTATGAGATGGAAGCGGTGTGATAACTCCAGACAGGAGTATGCAAGTTAATCCTGTTATTAGTCTCAATAATCTTAATGTCTAGCAGAACAGGGTATCAACTGAAATAGTAAATCACCAGTCTATTTATGTTTTATCACAAATTTCATATTTGACCAAGTTTCCTGTTCATTCATCTAAGAGATATGATAAGCTTGCATGGGTACTGTACTCAAGAAAATACAGTATGAGAAATACGCCTCTAGATTTTTTGTTTGTTGTTGGTCTGGAAAACTAAATGTGTATTGATACTGTTTAAACATTTAAAGTAAGAAACAAATATTGCATACTTAATTAGGTGTTCCAGGTGTCACTGACATGATTTGTTTTGTAGAACCACTACTTATAGAATAACCCACGAGGTACGAGTGATTAATGAAAATATGTCATGTTTTAAATGTAAAATAAAAGATCATGTGAAAAAACGAAAAAAAACAATATGAAATCATGTTGTTGATATGAAATTATATTTCTTGTCTTACAAATCTCGAATCAGTGAAATTGTAGCACGTAAAACATCTGAATGAATGGCATGGATTTGTGAATGAATGGGATGAGAAAAAAAAAGTCCTATTGTACAATGAAAATTGATCTTTGTTCAACTGACCAATCAGCTTCGGGAATCACTAATTGCACACTGTGTAAATATCAAAAGGATATTACACTGCATATTTGAGCCCATATGGGTAATAATGTATTGACATCTCCTTGTCACTTAGTACCATGAGTGCTGCAACTTTCACCACAATAAAGCTACACTTTTCTTCTATTGCCAACTAGACCGGCAGCCCAGAGCACTTTGGTCAAACGAACAAGGTACCAATATCCGAACACAGGAACATTTACTGTGTAACCCAACATATTCATATATGGATGTCTGCCAGGGAGCCCCTGCTGCATGTGGCCCCTGGCCCCCCAAAAGAAGGGGCCATTCAAGGGCTGGATCAAACATTGGAGGTACCACATGAAAGTAAGTGTAAATGAACTGGTACATCTCACAGAGTACAGAATGGGCCACGCCAGACAAATCTTCCTCTGCAAAAGGCCTGCCAGACACCCCCAAAGAGGGTCCCAAAATTTGGGCTGGGTTAAACATTGGAGGTACCACATGAAATCAACATAAAATGAACTATTTCACTCTACTAAGAATAAAAACCCCATTGCCAGACAAATCGTCTGCTGCATAAGGCCCGCCAGACACCCCCAAATGTTGACCCTTAATTCACTCAGTGGACACTCTGGTAAAATTTGACCAGAGTATACATTCAAAGTACCAGATGAAAGTAAGTTTAGAACAACAGGTACATGTTACTGAGTACAACACGGCCCATACCTGACAAATTGTCCTCTGCATAAGGTCCGCCAGACCCCCCAGGGAGGGTCCCAAAATTTGGGCTGGGTTAAACATTGGAGGTACCACACTGGGGGGTCGCGCCTTCAGATTATAACAATTGCAATACAAACCAGCGGGGTCCAAGAAACAGGTTCTCATGACCTGCAAGTATGATCATGTTAATTCTAGTTCAAGTGGGAAATCACGCCATTAAGATAATTACAATGCCAAGACAAACCAGGGTGTGTCAAAGGAAGGTTTCTCACGACCTTCATGTATGATCATGTTTATTCAGTTCAAAGTGTTTTATGATTTGATAAATGCTTCAAGTTATATTGTGATTATAACGTCAGTAGCACTATTATTAAGATTTCATATTTGCATTCAGAGGTTGGCAGAAAAGAAAAGGCTAGGTGTGGTTTGGAAACGGCTTTTCTTTTAACAAAAGAATTCACATTTGCTTGAAAACACAGCTCTATGGTAACAATGATATGGGAATTTATACAAAATTCAGTCAATCGTGACAGATCAACAATTGCTTGTTTAGAATTTTGTGTTATGGAAAACACCCTGAGATCAGGTTAATGCAACCTAAATTTATTGTGTATGGCTTTCCCTTCTTTATTGAAGGTATTCAAAAGCAGATATATATATATATATACACACATATGAACACTAGGTCATCCTGGGATAGAAGTCTAAACACATTTAACCGTGGCACAGCTCACGCGCCAATATCATGACTCTCTGTCTAGTGTAAGACATTTATTCAAACAGATAGATGGCAAATCTGAGACGTAAGGCCTTGTGAACATTTAGATATATAGTGGAGGTTTCATAACAGATATTTGAGTATTGAAATCAAAACCATGTCACATTATGAACATACATTTACATTTAACAACAAGAACAAAATCATAAAACATGATGGGTAATTACATTTCACATTTGGTGGTGCGATAGTTTTGACGAGGTGAATATCAGTAACGGCCCTTCTCTTTTGAACAGAAAAATATTTTTGTATCCAACCGTGACACTCCGAGAAAAGTTGTGAAGATCAGGACGAAAATACATCAAGAATAGAACATTCATCTTTTCGTGTCACCGAACCCTGTTCATCTCTTTCCGTGACCTGACAAACTTGATATTTTCACACAGGTCTTTGCCACGATTTTGTTAGGTTTCTCGATACGATAGACTTTTCGGGACCGACCATAAATATGGAAATATTTGGCCGGAATTCAGCTTTTTAGATGATAAAACTTGCTAAATAAACGGAGATCATAGGTTTTTAAACACAATTATCACCAAAAGATTTCCAAATGGTATTAGGGACTGTCATTTACCATTCTTATAGCAGGCTTTGAGGACTACCTAAGCATGTTTGGGTTTGTAGGAATCCATACCCAAGCTATCAGGCTATAGCAGGCTTTGAGGACTTCATAGCTGATCAGATATATATTCACAAGAATCAGATTCATGCCTTTTTTTTATTACATTTCAACGATAGGCCTAATCTATGATATCAATACTAGTATTCAGAGACCTGATTTTATAAATACGTGATTATAATCTCAATAAAATCCTTCCATCTTTAAGAACAAAACATAAATTTGACCATCTGTTGACTCTCAGAGCTGATGTCCAATGTTTCATTATGCACACTGGGATTACAGAGGGTCAACTGTGTGGGGTGGGGTGAGGGTCTGTCTAGCGGGCCTTATGCAGTAGAGAATATGTCTGGCAATGGGTATTTTGTAATACGTAGAGTGTAATAGTTCATTTTATGTTGGTTCCATGTGATACCTCCAATGTTTAAGCCTTATGCAGAGGAAGATTTATCTGGTGTGGCCCATTCTGTACGCTGTGATATGAACCTGTTCATTCAAACGTACCTTAATGTGGTACAATCAATATATATTCCAGACCAATTTTACCCGTGTATACCTGAAGGGTCAACTTTTTGTGGGTGTCTGGCGGGCCTTATGCAGAAGATGATTTGTCTGGCAATCGGTATTGTGCAATAAGTAGAGTGCAATTGTTCATTTTATGTTGGTTTCATGTGGTACCTCCAATGTTTAACCCAGCCCAAATTTTGGGACCCTCTCTGGGGGGTCTGGAGGACCTTATGCAGAGGACAATTTGTCAGGTATGGGCCGTGTTGTACTCAGTAACATGTACCTGTTGATCTAAACTTACTTTCATCTGGTACTTTGAATGTATACTCTGGTCAAATTTTACCAGAGTGTCCATTGAGTGCATTAAGGGTCAACATTTAGGGGTGTCTGGCGGGCCTTATGCAGCAGACGATTTGTCTGGCAATGGGGTTTTTATTCTTAGTAGAGTGAAATAGTTCATTTTATGTTGATTTCATGTGGTACCTCCAATGTTTAACCCAGCCCAAATTTTGGGACCCTCTTTGG